TACTTCTGGGTCCCACCAGGTATATCTCCCACCAGGTTTACTTTTAAAAGCATTTTTTCGGCTGAAGAGGTTGTAGAAAAAATGCTTTTAAAAGTAAAAAAAAAAAAGCCTCTGATGATCGCGCAGCTCAGCTGGGCATGTGGAGGGGGGGCAGGGATTTTTGCTACCGGTTGTCCGAACCACCCACCGCCATCGCTACCGGATCGGACAATCTGGTCCGAACCAGGAGCATTTCACCCCTGGTGGTAGGTGCTCCATCACTGGAGGTTTTCAAGAAGAGACTAGACAATCTTTTGTCTGGGATAGTTTTCCTGCCTTGGGCAGGGGGTTGGACCAGAATACCTCCAAGATCCTTTCCAGCCCTAGGATTCTATGATTCTATTATTATTATTGTTTTCTTTTTTTATTTAGGAGATTTATATTGTCACTTATTCGCACGTGGCGACTCAAGGCGGCTTACAAAGATATAAAAACATCATATAAAAAGCAGTAAAACTTATAAAAGAATCATATATAATAAAATAAAATCACCCCACCCCCACCCCTTGCCCCGGCGACAACACATCACACGAGCCATTTAATGGGCTCCATCCCGCTGTGGGTTCCCCAGGCCCGCTGGCAGAACCAGAACTTCAGTGCCTTCTGGAAGGGTGTTAGGGTGGGGGCCATTCTAATCTCTGAGGGGATGATGTTCCAGAGAGAGGGAGCCACCACAGAGAAGGCCCTACTTCTGGGTCCCACCAGGTATATCTCCCACCGGGATGGGACCTGCAACATTCCCTGCCTCCCCGGTCTGGTGGGTTGGGTGGATGTGACCGGCAAGAGACGGTCCCTCAGATCCCCTGATTCCAAGCCATGAAGGGTTTTAAAGGTGACAACCAGCACCTTGAATTGTACCCGGAAGCAAATCGACAACCAATGCAGCTCCCGTAGAAGAGGTGTAATACACGTGTTATTGTATGTTTTGTGTTTTGGATGTACTCAAGGTCTAAGCTTCTTGTGCTGCGAGATTCCCCCCTCTCGCAGATCTGGCCCTCCATGTTATCGAGGGCCTATCTTGATGACGGGTTTTGGAACCCCGAGAGATGGCATGCGTCAAAGAGGGGATTAAGGGTTTTTTTAAATGCATTATTAACTAAAATTTTAAGGGATTCAGGGATGACCAGAGTGGGAGCGGGGGAGAACCCACAAGGGTCAAGGTCGGGTCCGGCAGAGGGCAGCGGCAGTGGAGACGCAGGGTTGGATATCAGGGAGGGGGCGAGAGCTCAACCTTGTGAGGGCCATGTGATCTGTACAGTGGGAGGGAGGGGCAGATATGGTGGAAGCAGGGGGCTATATCATGTTATGGGAGTGCACTCTCGCTATCTTCAAGCGATCGCGCACTCCAGTCCCCAAGGCTTTACTCGTTCCCCAGGTAGCACAGACTCTCAGAGCCTGGGCCTTTGGCTGTTGTTGTGCAATGCCAGATCCGTGTTAAATAAAGCCTCTCTCATTTATGATCTTATTCAGGAGGGGGGAGCGGATGTGGCGGGTATTACAGAGACCTGGTTGGGCCCAGAAGGGGGTGTGCCCCTGGTTGAAATGTGCCCACCAGGTTTCCGGCCCAGGATAGGGGTGGGGGGTGGCAGTTATTATTAAAGAAAGTCTATGTCCGAGGGAGACCCCTGGACCTCGGATAGCTGGATGTGAGTCCCTCCTTGTGAAGTGGGGTCGTGGGGTGCAGATGGGCCTGCTGATCACGTACTTGGCTCCCTGCTGTGTGGCAGCAGCCCTGCCCAAGCTACCAGACGTGATAGCCGGGGTGGCGGTTGATACCCCCAGGCTTATGGTTATGGGGGACTTCAACCTAACATCTGTCGGCAAAATGTCTATGGCAGCTCAGGAGTTCTTGGCTTCCATGATGGCCTTGGACCTGACCCAATTAGTTCAAGGCCCTACTCACTTGGGGGGACATACTCTGGACTTGATTTTTGTTTCTGGTCAGTGGCAGAGTGATCTGGAAAGAGGGGATTTAGTCATCGAGCCCTTGTCATGGTCTGATCACTCCCTCCTTCGCATGGACTTTTGAACTGCTACACCCCACTGCAGGGAGATGGACCCGACTAAGTGGTTCTGTCCCAGGCGCCTGATGGACCCGGATAGGTTCCTGACGGAGCTTGGGCCATTCCCTGAGGCTCTGGCTCATGGCATGACTGAAGAGCTGGTGGCCGCCTGAGATAGGGCGGCCACCGGGGCTCTGGATCGTGTCGTGCCTTTGCGGCCTCTGCCCCGGTGCCGATCTCAACTGGCTCCCTGGTTCTCTGAGGAGCTGAGAGAGATGAAGCACCGGAAAAGATGCCTGGAGAGTGATTGGAGGGCCAGTCACTCCGAATCTGACCGAACACTGGTGAGGTCTCATATTAAGACCTACCTAGTGGCGATAAAAGCGGCAAAATTTAATTATTTTTCCACTCTTATTGGGTCTGCAGAGAACCGCCCAGCTGCCCTGTTTAGGGTGACCCGCTCCCTCCTTCATCTGGGAGCGAAGGAAGATCCCTTGCAGGACAAGGCTGAGGATTTTGTGCAATTCCTGCATGACAAAGTCACTCAGATTCGGGAAGGTCTGGACTCTGATTGGGTAGATCCGGATGGACTGATGGAGGGGAATCTTGAGAATGTTATCTGGGAGGGGTTTGACCCTGTGACACCCGAGGATGTGGACAGGATTCTGGGGAGACTTAGCTCTGCCACATGTTTATTGGATCCGTGTCCCTCCTGGTTGGTGCTGGCCTCCCGGGAGATTACACGAGGCTGGCTCCAGGGGATTATTAACGCTTCTTTGAGTGAGGGTTACTTCCCCCCCTCTTTAAAAGAGGCGGTGGTGAGGCCTCTCCTCAAGAAGCCTTCCCTGGACCCGGCTGTATTAGCCAATTATCACCCTGTCTCCAACCTTCGCTTCATTGCGAAGGTTGTTGAGAGTGTGGTGGCGCGACAACTTCCCCAGTACCTGGATGAAGCTGATTATCTAGACCCGTTCCAGTCGTGCTTCAGGCCAGGGCACAGCACTGGAACGGCATTGGTTGCATTGGTCGATGATCTCTGGAGGGCTCGGGACAGGGGTTGCTCCTCTGTCCTGGTCCTATTAGATCTCTCAGCGGCTTTTGATACCATTGACCATGGTATCATGCTGCGACGATTGGAGGGGTTGGGAGTGGGGGGCACCGTGTTGCAGTGGTTCTCCTCCTTCCTCTCCAACTGTGTGCAGTTTGTGTTGGCAGGTGGGGCAGCGGTCGACCCCGAGGCACCTTGCTTGTGGGGTGCCGCAAGGGTCAGTCCTCTCGCCCCTTCTGTTCAACATTTATGTGAAGCCGCTGGGCGAGATCATCCGTGGTTTCGGGGTGAGATTCCATCAGTATGCTGATGATACTCAGCTGTACATCTCCACCCCGAACCACCCCAATGATGCCCTTGATGTGATGTCCCGGTGCCTGGAGGCCATGCGGATCTGGATGGGGAGAAATAGGCTCAAACTCAACCCCTCCAAGACTGAGTGGCTGTGGCTTCCGGCAGCCCGGTATAGTCAGCTGTCACCATCGCTGACTATTGGGGGCAAATCATTGGCCCCCACAGAGAGGGCTCGCAACTTGGGTGTTCTCCTGGATGCATGGCTGTCGTTGGAAGATCATATGATGGCCGTGGCCAGGGGAGCTTTTTATTGGGTTCGCCTGATACACCAGTTGCGTCCCTTTCTGGACCGGGATGCCTTGCGCACAGTTACTCATGCCCTCATCAAGTCCCGTCTGGACTACTGCAACGCTCTCTACATGGGGCTCCCCTTGAAGAGCACTCGGAGGCTCCAGCTGGTCCAGAATGCGGCCGCGCGGATGGTTATGGGTGCGACTCGGCGTACCCATGTAAAACCCCTCCTGTGTGAGCTGCACTGGCTTCCGCTGGTCTTCCGAGTGCGATTCAAGGTGTTGGTTACCACCTTTAAAGCGCTCCATGGCTTAGGACTGGGGTACATACAAGACCGCCTTCTGCCAACAACAACCTCCCACCGGCCAATACGCTCCCACAGAGAGGGGCTCCTCAGGGTGCCGTCGGCCAAACAATGCCGACTGGCGACACCCAGGGGGAGAGCCTTCTCTGTGGGGGCACCAGCCCTTTGGAATGAGCTGCCCCTAGAGCTTCGTCTTAGCCCCGACCTGCGCACTTTTCCCCGCGCCCTTAAGACCCTTCTGTTTCAGCAAGCCGGACTGGCCTAATATGAATTTCAAATGGGTGTATGTGTGTTTTAAATTGATGGCCAAATTTTATACATCTGATTTTAATTGGTTTTATATTTTATAAATTCATGTGTTTTAATATGGCTGTACATCTGCCCTGAGTCCCCTGGGAGAAGGGCGGTATAGAAATTTAATAAAACTTAAAACTTAAACTTAAAACTTAAAAACTTAAAACATGCACAACTGAAATCTGCACAAAACCATGCAGGCTGCTGCATTTTGCACCAACTGGAGCTTCCGGATGCTCTTCAAGGGCAGCCCCATGTAGAGCGTGTTGCAGCATTCAAGACGGGATGTGAAATGTATGTTCTAGTTTGAGGCGGACACCTCACTGCGACCCATTAGAAGTCCCTCCTGGCAACACTCCTTCCTTCTCTGTAAGAATAACTTCAGCTGAGGACTTGTCCCTTTCAATGACCATCTGGTGGTCCATCTGGCATCTCTTCATTCCTCCACCCCAAAATCTAACTTTTCCATGGCTTGCTTCCCATCCTCCCTCTCAGCCAACTTTCGGTTGAGGTGAACGCTCGACCCATTCCATTCCCAACACCGCTCACCCGAACCCACCATGACATTGTCAGAAGTGGAAGTTTCCTGCATCAAGCGCTGGGGAGGGAGGGGGCAGCTCCTTGGCCCCCCCCGTTCCATGTTCATCCTTGGTGTGATCTAGCGTGGGATGGCCCCGTCGCCCCCCTTCAGCTGGTTAAATCCTGCACCTTCCTTGTGTTTTGACAGGCTTTGTGAGTTTTGACAATCCTGCTAGCGCCCAAGCGGCCATCCAGGCCATGAATGGCTTCCAGATTGGGATGAAGAGGCTGAAGGTCCAGCTGAAAAGGCCAAAGGATGCTAACCGTCCTTATTGAAGCACGGTGGGAAACACTGGATAAGCAAGGTCTAGCACAGGTAACTGTTGGGGGGTGGCAAGGAACATCACCTGTTGTCCCGTAGCGTCTCTTGTGTTGTCGACACTAATGACTTTTAACCTCTTAAGATTCTACCTTTCCTTCTAGAGCCACTTCTGAAGCACCTCAAGGACTTGACTCTACGGGGTTGAGGCATTACAGTGGGTTTATAGTGAGGGAGATACGAGGTTGACCTGGGTTTTTTTATTTACTTATTTGCTTTGTTGTTGTTGTTGTTGTTTGTTTATTAAATTTTGATGCTGCCCATCCGCCCCTACAAGGACATTCTGGGCAGATTCCAAATTATAGAACCCAAGGGGAAAGTCGTCAACAGATTAAAATGAGCCAATATTAAAAGGCCATTAAAACCAGGCCTACAAGAGCTGAGAGATGGATGGGACAATCTGTCCTCTTGTCCCATCAGCCACCTCCAGTGGTGAGGTCTTCTTGTCCCATCAGCCACCTCCAGTGGTGAGGTCTTCTTGTCCCATCAGCCACCTCCAGTGGTGAGGTCCTCTTGTCCCATCAGCCACCTCCAGTGGAGAGGTCTTCTTGTCCCATCAGCCACCTCCAGTGGTGAGGTCTTCATATCCCATCAGCCACCTCCAGTGGTGAGGTCTTCTTGTCCCATCAGCCACCTCCAGTGGTGAGGTCTTCATATCCCATCAGCCATCTTAGTGGTGAGCGCCTTCCTCAGGACCCCAGGCCAATTGGCAAACTCAGGTTTTGAGACCCTTCCGGAAGGCCAAAACAGAGGGGTCAGTTTTCACCTCCAATGGTAGAGTGTACCACAGAGATGGGGTCACAGCAGAAAAGGCCCTTCTCCTTGATCCCATTGATTCTAGTTCCTTACCAGATAGGCTCTATACCAGGCCTCTTCCACTGGCACAAGTGGGGTGGGCTTGTCCCATCGGCTCCTCAGATGCCCTGAACCCATGCCATAATTTTGCATTTCTCAACACATCCTTCTTCTTGCAAGCTCTCTTTTTTGAATCCACATTTAATCCCTGGTACCAAGGGGGCAATTTCAAAAGAGATCCCTTGAAACTTGGCATCAAAAGAAATGGGGGAGTAATTGCCAAGCAGGAGATCTAGATCAGACCGAGCGTGAGCAAAGAGGCAGAGATCAATTCACTCTGTGTCACAAATTTATTTATTTATTTATTTTTAATTTGATTTATATGCCGCCCTTCTCCGGAGACTCAGGGCGGCTTACAATGTGTTAAGCAATAGCCTTCATACTTTTGTATATTTTTACAAAGTCATCTTATTGCCCCCACAAACTGGGTCCTCAATTTACCTACCTTAGAAAGGATGGAAGACTGAGTCAACCTTGAGCCTGGCAAGATTCGAACTTACTAATTGCAGACAGCTGGAGTTAAATTACAATGCATTAGCCTGCTGAGCTATCCAAAGCTCCTCCGTTAATAGCAATAGCACTTAGACTTATGTACCGCTTCACGGTGCTTTCTAGCCCTCTCTAAGCGGTTTACAGAGTCAGCCTATCGCCCCCAACAATCTGGGTCCTCATTTTACAGATCTCCAAAGAATGGAAAGGCTGAGTCAACCTTGAGCCTGGTGAGATTCAAATTGCCAAATTTGCAGGCAGCCGGCAGTCAGCAGAAGTAGCCTGCAGTATTGCACTCTAACCACTGCGCCACCGCGGCTCTTTTGGAAGAGCCCCAAATGATTTTATTCAGCAGGCATTTATGCGGTTACACAAGCAAGGGGAGAAAAAAAGCTGCTTGCATGAAAAGATAGATAAAAAGCAGAAGTTGCTACAATAAAATTGTTATTTCCCAGTACATGTCACAAGCATATTTGGAAAGAAACTTATTTAGCAAACTCAGTTGATCCTATTTCTGGTTTCCTGTCATCCTTCTCCTAAGCTGTAGACAGTTACATATTATTACAACTCATTTATCTTCTTTAATTCGGCCATTTCAACACAATAGTTTTGATCACCAATGCTCATTTCCATTGCTGTTGGTTAAAAGAGGGGAAATATCCCCTCCACAATTGCTCAAGAAAGAGATGGGAACTGGAGTCCCATTTATTGCCGCGGGGTGGGTACAGTTGATGGTTTGTGAATCTAGATGCTAGTAAAGGACCCCTGTGGACTTGTAATGGTTACGGAAGTAAGTTAAGTACGCAGATCTGGTATTATGAGCACATCCCAAAATTCTCCATTCTTTGCGTAGGACAAATTTTAGGACGTGAACATTAAGGGAGGGTGGGCTCCACCACGAGGGTCTTCTGAACAGCCTCAGAAAGCATGGTTTGAGAGTCTTGGTGGTGAATGTAGGGACCAAAATGGAGAAACTATTTCAGGGTTTACAAGAAACCCTCCAGAACATAATCTTTGAAGGCATCTCAAGAGGTTCAGAATTGGTAGCTGTGCCTTTGTTTTAACTGTTTTCCTGCTATCGGAATACACCCAAACTGTTGTTATATAGCATTGTTGTATTCTTCATCCTTTACCACAGTAGCAACTTTGATGCTTGGGAAGGCGAGCAGACAGAGAGGAGAGAAATAGGAGCAAATAGTTACTAGCAGAATGTGGACTTTTCTCAAATCTGGGTCGAGTAACAGTTCCCCAACTAAGGGTTTGCTAACTGCCATTCTGCCACTAATGTGATGTATTTGCTCCAAAGGTACCACCAGTTCATGCAAAAAATACCTATCAGATTACTCACACTTTCTTCTATTAGGAATAGGAGCTACTGGTTGGAAACAGAATTGCGTGGTTGCCGTTGAATTTTGTCCTTTTCATAAGCTTGACGTGAACGTTGGAGTGTGAGTATGGAGACAGAATGATAACAGAACATAACAGAATAACAGAGTTGGAAGGGACCTTGGAAGTCTTCTACTCCAATGCCCTGCTCAAGCAGGAAGCCCTATGCCATGTCGGACAAATGATGTCCTAGATAGACCTCAAAAATTCTTCTGACTTTGACATATAATTGTGCAATTTCTAGAAGAGACCCCAAGAATTTAAGAATGACCTTTTCTGATGCAAAGCTCCTAGAAAGTGCTTTACTCAGACAAATGTCCAAGCAAAGGGTTTCTTGACCCCTTCCAAAAGCAAAGAAAACTCTCCACGTTGCATTTTTTTCTATGATACCCTCACCTGAGGATCTCTCTGGCCTTGTCTGCTCTCTGTGCAGGTGCTATCTCTTTTCCCAAATTCTAAAAAGTGATCCCAATTCCACCAGATCTCTAGGAAGCCATCTTCCCACAGTAACCTACAGCGCTAGGATTCCTCAATCCAACCCAGGAACTAATCAGATCCAGCTTAGCTTCCTCAAATCATTCCAAATCAGCTGTCTGTTGTACAAGGTGTTTTCACCATGATTTTCCTTGGGGAAATGAGTTGAAGATTGCACGAAGTGTACATGGAGGGAAGGGAGGGAAGAATGAGAAGGAGAAAAAAAAACCTGTAGGAATAACAGGAACTGTGACTGCCACGTGGACAAGCACTCCATCAAGCTAAGCACCTTAAATAATCCCATTAGCATCCTTTAATATGCATCAATGCCATATTTGAGTGCAGATCTGTTTCTTCCTCATTGTTTTCTCTTTTTTTTACTTCATTTTCTTTTTCTTTTTTTCTTTTTTAAAATTTTTTTATTGAATATAAATATTAAAAAAGACATACGTAATATATACACAACAAACATTTATACAACATATACACAAAAAGAGTATAATTTCTTCTTAAGCATTTTTTCAGAGTGACATTCTACAATTCTGCTTATGATATATTCCTTCACCTCTCCTTAATCTAATAACACTTTTTATTATATATATATATATATATATATATATTTTTTTATATTTTTTTTTTTGTATATTTCTGATTTTTAACCAATTATGCCAATTATTCCATATATATATATATATGTTTATGTAAATTTTTAAATATATATATATTTAAATCGGTAATATTTCCCCCTATATTTTTTGTATATTTCTGATTTTTAACCAATTATGCCAATTATTCCATATTTTGTAATAATCTGATTCTTCTCTTTCTTGTAATTCTTTGGTTAACCTATCCATTTCAGCGCATTCTAAAATTTTTCCTATTACTTCTGTTTCACTTGGTGTTTTTTCTTGCTTTGAATTTTTTCCTCATTGTTTTCAGTGGTAAGAATAATTACCAATTTGATTGATTCATGCATTAGACAAATTCATTTATTTTCACTCTGTAAAGCCTGGCCGAAATTAAGAGGACACAAAATAATCACTTAAATAGGAGCCCAACTGTGTTCGACAGCTGCCAAAAAAGCCAACACAATCCTAGGCTGCATTAACAGAGGGATTAGAGTCAAAATCACGTGACGTTCTAATACCGCTTTACAAAGCCTTAGTAAGGCCACACTTGAAATACTCCATCCAGTTTTGGTCACCGTGTTGTAAAAAAGATATTGAGACCACTGGTGGGTTTCAAATTTTTTTACTACCGGTTCTGTGGGCGTGGCTCTAGGTGGACGCGGCAGGAGAAGGATACTGTAAAATCTCCATTCCCTCCCCACTCCAGGGGAAGGATACTGTAAAATCTCCATTCCCTCCCCACTCCAGGGGAAGGATACTGTAAAATCTCCATTCCCTCCCCGCTCCAGGGGAAGGATACTGTAAAATCTCCATTCCCTCCCCGCTCCAGGGGAAGGATACTGTAAAATCTCCATTCCCTCCCCGCTCCAGGGGAAGGATACTGTAAAATCTCCATTCCCTCCCCGCTCCAGGGAAAGGATACTGTAAAATCTCCATTCCCTCCCCGCTCCAGGGAAGGATACTGTAAAATCTCCATTCCCTCCCCGCTCCAGGGAAGGATACTGTAAAATCTCCATTCCCTCCCCGCTCCAGGGGAAGGATACTGTAAAATCTCCATTCCCTCCCCTCTCCAGGGAAGGATACTGTAAAATCTCCATTCCCTCCTTACTCCAGGGGAAGGATACTGTAAAATCCCATTCCCTCCCCACTCCAGGGGAAGGATAC